TATGTAGTACATAAGAATATGCTAATATATAAGAATTGTATGAATCACATGAGAATTACAATAATTTCACCATAAAAATATGTATTAAAAGCAGTATTTCTTAATTAGGTTAGTTTTATATGCACGTGTGTATAAAACTTACATAATTTATGAAATCAGAAAGAGCGACTCATCCCCCATTCTGTAAATTGACCACTTCTCTTAGTTGACCACAAAATCAATGACCTTAAGTGGCAACCTTATACAGGTTTCACTGTATCTTGTTCTTGTAGATCAATGAGAATCTGGAATTGCAGACTGTAGTCTTTTAGGAATGTTGCTTTTTTTTCTGTTTATATTTCATCATTCAGCAGCAAGATTATAATTTTTAACAATTTTTGTTTTTATGTAAACGGGATTTTAATTATGCTCTTGTAGCTTTGTGCCACTAAACCCTAGATTCAATTGAATAAAAATCCTAGATAACAAACTTATATCTGTGTCAATCTGTAGCTAATCACTCGAGTTTATTTCAAGCAAATCCTTTATTTTTCTAAATCATTATTTAATAAATATGGATTTATAATGAATATTTTTAATATTCTATGTCTGGCAAGTCTCCTGTTCTTTAACGAAGACTCCTTTATTTTACGACTATCTCCTGTTTACTCATATATTCTGAAATTTACCCCTTGTTTGTTGAAGAAATTTGCAGAAAAGAAAAATTTTGCTGATAAAATATTCACTGATGGCAAAAATACTTCTCTTACTTCTCAACAGATGGTGCTACTGCCAGTACTGCAGTATGTTGAATGTTAATTGTTTAAGTCGAGCCAGGATGGTCCAGGGAATAGAGCATTCGCCTTTAAATGAGGTGAAGCAGATTTGAATCCCAGTGATGACTGGTCGATACGAATTCCTCGTCCAGCTTGCACCGACTACAGTGCTGATGTAAAATATCCTCAGTGGTAGACGGATCACGGGTTAGAGTCCCCTTGCTATCTGGCTAACCGGGGGAGTTTTTGTGGTTTTCCTCCCCATGTAACTCAAATGCTGGTTCGTTCCATCAAAAAGTCCTCCATGAAGGCAAATTTTTCCCAATGCTTGATCCAGGAGTTCCCTTGTCTTCTAGATTGGGTTCAAAATTACAAGGCTGCGAAGTTGATCATTAGTAGTCGTTAACCCAAAATTGGGTCGACTGTTCAACGACGGTTATAAAATAATAAATAGTTTAAGTAATTATAAATAATCCCAGATAGCAAAATAAGGTTTATTGCCACTCGGCAAAAACTTTTTAATATAAACCTAAAAAGGTTTGTAATGCGGTCTACGTGTAAACCTTCTAACCTTAAAACGAGATCTGTGATAATCTGCTCCATTCTGCGCACATTACCCTAATCCAAAACCTTGGAAAGCAATCTTCTATTTAAAAACCTTAAATCGAGGTTGACTTAGGGTTTTCAAGGCTCAAATCCTTTAATAACCCTTTTGGTTCAAATCCTTTAATAAAGCTAGTATCGAGGTGAACACTATATCCTCTGAACCAATGCGCCTGAATTACCCTGCTCTGAATCTATGACATAGAAATAGTTAAATATTAAAAAGTGTGATCTGAAACTCAAGGCAAACGCTTTCTGTGTATCCGGCGAGACATCAAAGCTGTACTTTAGTGTAATATTGTTGAAAAGGTTTTATTGCTGTTTAATTAAAAAATATTATTGGAATAATAAAAGAATATTAGCATGGAAGTTTAAGTAGAGAAAAAGATTCGGAAAAACTATAGCGGAAAAACTTGATATTCTGAATGACTTATAATTTGTTACATGACTGAAGACACATCAGAATTATCTCTTCCTTCTTCGCTTTCTTCCTTCTTTGCTTATTGACGTTTTCGCCAACTTTAACTTATCAGGTTTTATATATATATATATATTATAATTTATAATAGAAGAAAAATTATGAAGAACTTATTAATTCTTTTAATTTTCTTCGTTTTTTTTTTTATTGTACTATATATATATTATTGGAAGCAATATCTTTACCTTTCTCAAACATTTTACAGTGTATTTAAAATAAAAAAAAATAGTNTTGTACTATGTATATATATTATTGGAAGCAATATCTTTACCTTTCTCAAACATTTTACAGTGTATTTAAAATAAAAAAAATAGTAAAAGGAAGAGCCGAAGAAAAGCCAGTACATACAAAGTATTAAAAATCACAAGTCTATAAATGTTTTTTTCTTTTTTTCCCTTCATCCGGGAAACAGGCCTTGAAATTGCATATTCAAATCAAAACTCGCTGAATGAAAGCGAATGTGAGCAGAAAACAACGAAAAATTAAAATAAAATGCATTTATTCAACCTCAAAGTAACATCTATTAAACACAATTGAGCAATGAACATTTTATAACCGTCGTTGAGCAGTCGATTTGTATTTGATTCTACGTCTATTAGTCACTTTAAACCAAATTCAGAAGACAAGGAAACTCCTGAACCAAACCTTGGAACAAACTAACTTTCGTAGGATGTTTTATGGTGGGACTTATCTGCATTTGCCTTACATGGAAAGGAAAACCTCCCCACGGTTAGCCTGTTCTCTACGGTATTCCAATCTGTGATCCGTCTGCCACTTTAAATATTTTTCAACCGCACTGTGGTTAGTGAAAGCCAGGAGTAGCATTCAAATTGACTAGTCATCGCTGTGATTCGAACCTGAGTCGCTTGATTGCACTTTTGACATTATCTTTTTAAGGGTGTGAGAATACACCATCGCCAGTTTATCGCCGAGCCGCGATGTCTCAGGTGAAAGAGCGTTCGCCTTCCAATGAGATAAACCGGGTTCGAATCCCAGCGATGACTTGTCGATACGAATTCCGCATCCGACTTGCACCGGCCACAGTGCTGACGTAAAATATACACAGTGGCAGACGGATCATGGGTTAGATTCCTCGTGGTCTTCCTCTCCATGTAACGCAAATGTGGGTTACTTCCATCAAAAATTCCCCCGCGAAGGCAAATTTCTCCCAATGCTTGATCCAGGAGCTCCCTTGTCTTCTGGATTGGGTTCAAAGTTACAAGGCTACGTTGTTGAACATTAGTGGTCGTACGCCCGAAATTGGGTCGGTTGTTCAACGACCGCTGTAAAATAAAATAAAACGTTTATCGTCAACCGTTATCCCTAATATGGCGAGATTTTTCCTCTTAGATTAAAACTATCGAAATCAATGCATTAATTCTCGATTTGTGAAGACTTTTTTAAGCCCAAATAATGCAGCATTTAGTGTAATTTTTAAAAAACAAATTAGATCGCAAGCAAACATTCTTGAAAACTGAGGCTTCTCTTTATTCTTATGTTTTGCGCCATTTTCGGAATTAGTATAAAGGGCGCTGTTGCTGACTAGAGACAGGCTAAATGTAGCGAATTCACAACCCTATTCTACCATACCATATTCTAAGAAAAAGCATTATTTTATGCGACGACAGAGCCTCCTAAGAAGAGCCTTTAGCTCATCTTTAAACAAACAAGCCCTTGCTAATCCTCCCTTTTGAACAAAATGTCAGTCACATCAGCGACTAGTTTAACCAAAATGGTAAAAATTAGCATTTTGTCGTTTTATTAAATTAGTTATGATTCAAAAGTTATTTCGAAGAGAATGCATAATCTTCGAAGTATTGAAGAATTCCTAAAGTAAGTAACCTAACAACTTTTTGGGATTTCTTTTCTTCTATCGATTTTTTTTAATACAATGTTGGCGGAAATTCGGAAAGATTTATGGAGCCAACTGTCCTATTGGTAAAATATAGTAAAGCAAGTCTTTCCAAGTTCGCTTTCTCCTTTATCTACATCCGTCTGTAACAGATCACGAGCTATTAGTCCAAGTTGCGCTATCTGCTTTTGGTCAGTAAATTGGAACCCGAAACTCATCAAGCCCCCAATGCGACCTCTTGACCTTTCTGTGGTCGGAAATATAGACCCAATCAAGCGATACGAGATCAGCCAACCATTAATGGTGGCTGAAGTAGTTATAAATCACTTATGACACTGGCCTCTGATATTCTTTTGTCCTTTTCTTCTTCCATCTTTCAATGTTTTGCTCTTCTTTTAACTCAATTACTGTTTTTGCCGAACTTCTGATTTGTGTTAATTTTTTTGTATTGTTATTTTCTTTTAATTAATGTGCCTGAAATGAAACAGCTTCTTAATTTTAATATTTTAATTGAAGTGATATGATAATTTCTTCTACTTAATTCACTGCAGCCGTCTTTTTGCTATTAGCTGTTCCTTGGCCACCAAAATATATGTTTGCCAAGAGCTGTTCCAACTTGCACCAGCTTTGCTCCTTGAGAAACATTTTTCGGAAAACTGTGCAAAATGTGCCCGTAAACTGGTATTTTTATATAAAATTCTTGGCAGTTGTGCTACAAAACACCTCGAAATAAACACTTAATATTAAAGTTAGCCAAACTTTTTCCGAAATACGCCGTTTGGGGTGAAATTCGAAGCCGTGCGACAAAATGAGAAAATTTTCAAAATCTGCTTTAAAAAACGAAAACCAACTTTAATGGTTAATAATAATCATTACCCATGGTTAGCTAACCATGGGTAATCAACCATATTTGCTGAAGTATTTATAAATCACTTTTGACACTGATATTCTTTTGTCCTTTTATTCCTCTATATTTCAATGTTTTGCTCTTCTTAACTCGATTTCTCTTTTTGCTGAACTTTTGATTTGTGTTTATTTTTTTTTCCGTAACATTATTTTTTTTTTAAGTTTATTTGGCTGAATCTTAATTTAATGTTCTATATTTTGAAGGTCAAAAATCCTAATATGTAAATAAAATCTCTGTTTATGCAGAGAAAGTACGTTTTTGTGTCTGATTTCGTAAGTTAATTAATCATTAGCATATTTGAGGCCACACCATTAAGATTGACACTTAGTACGTGAAAATCCGATCAATAAGAACAAAAGTTATCCAGGGTGATATCTTTTTCATTTTATTTTATTTTTTTAACAGGTTGCTCGTAACTGGGTGTCAAACAATTTGCCTCTTGATACTTTCTTGCCTCCTATTGACGCATTTGAAGTCGAATGTTATTCAGCAGGTAAGAGATTTTTTTTTTTACTATCAATATTTGTATCACTATCAAGATATTCGTAATTACTATCTTTTCATCCAGATAAAGAAAAAAAATTCTTATAAAGTGATAGCCTCATTTGAACTTTCACCGTCCAACAAGAACTATTTTGATATCAAGATAAAATGCTTTTTAAATTTAAAAAAAAAATTAGTAAATAAAATAAATTTGTACAATTACTTATACTATTAAGTATTTAAACACTTAAAGAACGGCACCGACAATTTAAAGAGTCGACGAATAGCATAAGCAAAGCATTCCCGCAACAGCTCGTAGTGGACCAGGGGCGGGGGGGGGTCATGGAGGTTAAGACTCCATAATTTCGTGACCAACGGCATGATTGTGGCAAGGTGGTCAGCACTGCGCACATGCCGCCTTTACTTCTCCAACAAGGTGGTATCCATCGTTCTGAAGCTGTCTGGGTTTCAAGTCGCCACTGGGGATCGAACCGCAGCTCTTCACAGTGAAATGACAGCCCAGTGCCTTAACCACTGAGCCATCGCAGCTCCGACTAATAGCCTAGAAGAAGTGAAATCGATCGGGAACGCTATAAGCACCTGAAATCAGTTTTTAATTTTTTCCCCCGCTCTCCTAAACTATTTCCCCTTAAATTACAGTGTTTTACATTTTTAGCATTCAATCAATGTTCTAAAAGTATATGTAATATAAATTGGAACCATGAGGGGATAGAGCGCTCACATCCCAATGAGAGTTCCCGGGTTCAAATCCCAGCTGTGGCTACGAATTGATGCGAATTCCGCACCCGGCTCACGCCGACTACAGTGCTGACTTTAAAATATCCTCAGTGATAAACGGATCATGGGTTGAAATTTTGATTAAAATAAAAAAAAAATTAATATCATTAAAATTTTTTTGCGTTGAAGTAATAACCTTTTGCATGTAAATTTTGATTTTAGACAAAGCTCAATTATTAGAATTATAAATAACTGCTCTAGGATTGCAGACTAATTTGAATTATTGAGATGGTACCTCAGATTACTACCAGGCTCTTTGCGTTAATAAAACTTACGATATAAAGCTTATTAATTTTGATCTTGGCGTATGAAACAAAAGAATATAATTTATGATTAAAAAGATGCTTTCTTTCTTATCTCCCTTCCCCACCTTCCATCATCTCGAAACCTCCCTCCCGTTTTTGCATTATCATATTTTGCCCTCCACCGAACCGAAATTACCCGGGCAGTGCAAAATGCCATGCCGGTCAATACATAGTGAGGAGGGTTGGGGAAAATCCACACACAAGTAAGCCAATATACGTGAAAACAGCCGGTGTGTACAAGAACATGATACACTGGGGCGCTGGCCAGTGGTCCGGAATGCGGTCGAGAGGAGCCCTCCCCTTCTCCTTTCGTCCCCAATCTTCGTCCTCTTGGGTGTCTAGTCGAGCGTAAAGGGCTGATGCCGCCCCAGTGATTGAATTTCTTAGCGCCCTTTTCCGACCACCCTCTTGATGTTGATGGGTGAAGTTCGACATTCCATTGAAGAGAGTTCTTATTCGAAGGAAGAAAGACGGCGAAAATTTGTCGCTTAAGATACAGGATGAAGGAATTTTTTTCTTTTTTTTTCCTTCATTGTATCAAACTTACAGAACAAGACTGACTTAACCCAAAACATTCCAATTTTCAACTGTCCCTTAAATAATCGGCACGTGCATATAAATAAATACAATATTGCCTACTTGATGATCAAAACAGTGCCTTAAATAATCGCTACGTGCATATAAATAAATACGATATTGCCTACTTGATGATCAAAACAGTGCCTTAAATAATCTCTACGTGCATATAAATAGATACAATATTGCCTGCTTGATGATCAAAACAGTGCCTTAAATAATCGCTACGTGCATATAAATAGATACAATATTGCCTGCTTGATGATCAAAATTGAATATTAACTGTTCAAATGGCCAAAATTATTAACTGTGCGAAGATAAAATGTATTGTAACTGCTAGAATAGCAAAATTTTAATATTAATTACTGTAAGTGCAATATTAATTGCTGAAAGTCGAGGTAATATTAACTCCTAGAAAGTTAAAATGCAATGATTACTTATGGATGGACAAAATGTAATAATAATTGCTACAATGACAATATTAACTGCTAGTTGGTCAAACAGTAATTTCAACTTCTAGTTGTTGAAAATCAATGTAGTTTTAACTGCTGAAAGATCAAAATGCAATTATTACTACTAGATGGCCAAAGAGTTATATGAATGATATGAATGCTAGATGATATGATTACGAAATCGTGGAGGCACAAGAGTAAGCAAACAAAATTTCTTTTAGTAATGGTAAGTGAATAATTTTAAAGTAGAAAAACTGTTTTCTGACAATAAACAACAATTATTGCGAAGCAATATACGATCTGTTTGATATATTTTTCTTTTATATTTATACTTATATAGTTTACAGATTTAAATATTTTATTGTTTAGGAAATTAAACTGGAAGCGATCTTTTAGAAACTTGCGTAAACTCTGGTTATTATTATTCATACATTGATGAATACAGGATGCATACACTGCCTTTAATTTATATTTTTATAGTATTCGTCAAAAAAGTACTCACAATAGGGGGGTCGTACTATAATTTTATTATTGTTGTAATATTTAAGCTAAAGAAAGTATCTGTCGGATCAGTTATGAAATAGGCTTAATGAAAAACCACCAAAACAAAACAGTTTTGAATGCCTGATCTAAGTTGAATTGAATACCTGGAGACTTTTTTTTAAATTTCTTGTGACAATCAAACTGGTTTATTAAGGGCGGTGTATCCTTCCTTCTTCACTGGGACGACAACCAACCCCAGGTGCACCCCTCGCAGAATTTTATCTATTAGCCGTCCTGTTTTTAGCCAAGTATTTTATCCAGTTTGTGACATTTATAGCAGTGGTCGGAAGTAGCGCGCTAGAAATAGCGAAACTACTTTTTTCCGTAGTTTGTAGTGTTGTGCGCTACTTTTTAAAAGAAGTAGTGAAGTGATTTGTACGATACAAAAAAAGAAAAGTTTGTAACGATTCCTGGCAACTACTTTTAAGGTTAGTTAAATAAAGAGTTCAAGGGTTTTCCGAATCTGATTGGTGCAAATCATTAGCAGGCCCGTCATCGTACGCAGTGAGAATGTCTCTGTGGCCGAGCGTTAATAAAATCTGCATCTGATCTTCGGAAAAATCGGTCGAATAGTTCCTGAGAAATCAAATTTTAAATATGTGACTTTTTTAAAATTCAATTTCACAGGAACTGTACTTTTCATCAGACGTTTTTATGTCTGATGTCGTAACTTAAAATATCGTCTGCATTAATTAATTAGCATGTTTGCCATCGCTCCCTCAAACCATTAAGGATTTAGTCCTAGAACGTGAAGATCCGATCATTGAACCAAATGTTATTCAAGGTGGTCGGCTTTTTCTTTTTCGCTCTGTACAGTATTTCTTGGAGGATATTAAAAAAAAGCATTGATCACTTAAATCACAAATATTTGATAATTCCCTTGCATTTCTTAAATCATTGTCGTGAAAAGAAAAGCATAGAGTTTGAAAGTTAAAAGAACAAATTCGTAAAAAGTGTTTTAGAATAAAAAAACTATTTCATGTAAATATGAATTAAAACTTCTTAATATCTCCTCATATTTCACCAAGATAATTTTTTAATCAAAATCATTTTGGATATTGGTGAAAATTAAGTTCTCCAGTTAAGTTTGTCTTCTAAAAGTAGCGAAAGAGGGATTATATTTCGAAAGTAGTTTATAGTCGCCAATTTTTTTTTTTTATTTTTTTTTAATAACCGTCGCTGAGCCGACTCAATTTTAGGTTTACGACTACTAATGCTCAACTCCGTAGCCTTGTAATTTTGAACCAATCCAGAAGACAAGGAAACTCCTAGATCAGTACTCCCACATGTATGAATTGTTATGGGAACATGGAGGACTTTGTGACTCGTCAGATTTAACGTGCATCAGTCACGATTTTACTACACAGGGAGTTTTCATCCGGTGGGGATCGAACCCACGACCTCTTGGACATGGGCCCAGTGCCCTACCAACCAGGCTATACCGGCCCTAGTCGCTACATGTGAAAAAAAGTAGTTGCAGTTTCCTACAATTGTAATAAAGCAGTTGAAGTTAACTACATGGAAAATGTATTTTTTCTGACCGCTGATTTATAGTTTTAAAGTCAGTTTCTAAGCAGCCAGACCTCCTAAATCTTGGTCTTTTTTTTAGTGGCGTTAGGCTTAGCCAAAAACATACTTGTATACCTTTTTTCTATCACGTGTTTTCAACTAAATTGTGCAAATATATTTTAATTTATAAAGTAGAGAAGAAAATTATCTAAAATTTTAATTTATAAGTTGTGTCATTACTGTAAAAAAAATATCTTTTACTTCAAAAGAAAACTTTACCATATACTTGTTAAACTTATTTATCGTTTGAATTTCCTTAAAGTATTTTTCTAAAGTTTTATTGCTAGACAAGCATTTTCATTCCTTCCCTCCCCCCTCTTAAACATTTTTCCGGTATATGAACATTATTTTCTTTCTCCTCCCCTTCAATTTTGACATTTGCTATAATTTACCGGAAAAATATTCGTTTTTCCTTATCCACTTTTTGCCATCCCTCTTTTAGGGCTTTCTTTTATTCCCCCTCCACTAAAGCAACAAATCCTTTTTGTCTTGATCTCTCCAATGCATAAAAATTTTTTTATTTTTTATTTCCTTTGACATAAATATAATTTTACGCTACGTGAAAGCTCCTATTCAGTAAGATTTCTCATAAAATATACTTTTTGCATTCGTCGCCAGAAGTTGCTTGACTAAGGAAAACTGTCGCCAATCAGACAGAAAACGGCAAAAACAGACGATAATCAAAATAATTCTGAAATTGTTTCGTTTCTTAAGTAAGCAGCTTGATTAGAGAATTAGAAAGGCGAATTTGATTCCTCATTCTGACACTCATCTGTTACTTTTATCGAATTCATTCCTATTAGTTTTAATCAATAATTTTATATTTGCATTGTTTAGAGTCATAAAACTTTGTAAAAATTAAGAATTATTAATTGATACTTGGGATTTTTCTGGTTTCATTCGTCCAGCGGTTCCTAAATAGTGTTCCTTGGAACCCTGGGGTTCCATAAAAAGCTCACAGGGGATCCGAAAATTTAAATCTTTTAAACCGGTTATGATCTTTGAAACCTGTCTTATTTATGTCCAAACAACAAACCACCATTTATTTGATATTTTGGTTAGTTTTATGAAAGTATTGAAATAAACAAAGAATTAGAATGTCTTTTTAAATAATTTTTTCTTCCAATAACAATACATTGAATATGGCACGAAAAAGATAGGCATTTGCAAAAAAAGGGCATTATTATTTCTCATCAAACTTTTTAATTCAATATAAAATGATCAAATCCTAAAATAAAGAAATATGTTTCTATGACAACCATTCTCAACGTTTTAATGTTTTTTTTTCTTTCGAAAACTATAAATTTGTTTTCAGTTTTTGCATGCACCAAAAACATACTCAAAGCTAGTCTAGATGGGTCACGAATTTACACATAAAGCTTTTTTCGAAAATTATAAATTTGTTTTCAGCTTTTGCATGCACCAAAAACAAACTCAAAGCTAGTCCAGGTGGGTCGGCGAATTTTACCTAAAGCTTATTTTACGATTATTTTTGATAAAATAACGACTGAAGAATTTCATTTTTCGCATTTAAATATAATCAAATAATCTATAGTTTTGTTATTATTTTGGTTAGCATATCCACAGCTACTAATTTTACTCATTAATTTGGGGTTCCGCCAAAAAATGTTCGATCATTTAGGGCTCCGTAGCTGTACAAAATTGGGAACCTCTGCTATACGCTGTGAAAAAATTTTGGAATTCGGACTGATTTTTGATGGTCTAATATAAAAAATCAAATAGTTTTGATGATATATTCTTGAGAACCAACAAGAATTCCTATGGAACCATCACGAATCGTAATGGTTGGTGGAAGTTTGATGGTACATCAAAAACCATGAACGCATAATGGAAAATGTTGAATGATGGGAACCATCAAATGATGTCGGACCATCATGAATCGCACTTAAACCGACATAAATCATCAAAATATTTTGATGGGACCATCAAGAATTTTGATTTGGGTATGCATGCTTGAAAAAGCACCCATTGAAACCTATTTATGTAATTCGTAGTGTCGTTTGCTCCGTACATGGTGCTCTCTTATCCACTTCACTATATCACTTTTCTCTGCTATGTGTTTTTTTTTACTCTTTATAGCTTGCTAGTCTTGTTTTTATTTACATTGACAAAAAATTTAATGAAAGACGCTTTTAATAAATTTTCTTTTAAAAAAAAATTAAACCTAGTCGCGCGTTATCCTTATTTCTGCTATATCTTGCCTCTCCCTCGTCAACGACCCTAAACCATTATTCCGTGTTGGAAACCATCTGAAAGACCCTCAAACTTTAATCAGTGGCATATTAGTTCCTCTTTTGACTTTCCCTCGCACCCCTCTTCGCTTGCGCATATTATTCCACTTCAGGATTCAAATCCTTTCTGGTTTCACACCCCGACCTCCTGGTTTACCACACAATTGTCAAGAACCCCCTGGAACAGGAACAAATGAGCAGGAGCTTTTCAGGATAGGCTAGCCGAATTGAACTCTCTTTTATCTTTTCAAACCAGGAGCCTGTGCCTTTCGGTGTGATGATTCCCGGAATTTAATAACTTGGACTCTTTAGAAAACTTTTCCGGGCAACCCGTGTTTGCTGAAGGTGTGTGTTGAGTCGGGGATAATTATCGGATTATAGGGCGCACCGCCCTTTTGTGACTTTTGTTTGCTGAGGTTGAAGTTCTCGTGAACTCTTCCAAAGCTGAAATCTTTAGCTTTTTCTTGCTCCGTCGTGTTTGTTTCGCTTGGCAACAAATTATCACTAATAGATTTTACAGATAATGTTCCCTATTAAGAAAAGAAACTTGCTAAAACCTGCTTCGTATTTTGCAAACCATTGTTATACGCCATTTTGTATTTATAGTTGAAAAATAATTGTTCTAAAGTGAAAATTGAAGTAGTAGTGAATGACTACAAAATCGTTTGAGTTTAAACTTATGGTCTTTCATCCATTATAGAATGTTATTTTTCTCTGCTCTATCTAGTGCCTTGGTGTTATTGTGTATGTTTCTTTGGAAACAAATTAATTAGCTCTAATAAATTTGAAAGATATCGTTCTCTAATGTTTAAATACGAAAAAGAGTTTTCGTATTTCGTACAATTTGCAAACAATTATAATAGATTGAATTCTTCAGAGTTGAAAAAGAATGGCTGTTGTTTTCCATGAATATGTAAAAAAAAAAAAAAGGAAATCTCGGGATAAATCATAAAGGTAAAAAGGGAGGAAAAGGGTATAAATAATATATCTGGTGAGTTAGAAGTGAAATATATTGTTAAAAAATAGCAATATTTAAAAAAAAATTTTTTTTTTGCAGTTTTGATTTTTTTTGACTGATTTTTTTTTACTTGTTTATTACTATTTATTCTTGTTAAAAGCACTGCACTGTGCATAAGTTAGTATTAATATTTAGTTAGAGTAGCTAGACAAAATTTATTTTGCAAATTATAATTTAGATTTAAATTTCAAACTTTCTGCATTATTAACGAGACAATAGGTTAGTTTTTATTTTCCTTTAAACTACATGTTTGCTATCTTTCGCCTTTTATGTTTATTATTATATGAAGCAAATTAAGTAACAAATATAGCAGAAACAAGACATGCACTCAGGAGAGTTACTATACTCAGCGAACATGTTTAGCCAAATACAGAGATGCCAACTTGCTCCGGACAGCAAATAAATATTTTAAAGTGGTAGTTTATCAATTGTGATTCTTGGTTTAATAAATTCAATTTAGTAAATTTTTATCCACCACTATTTCCAAATAATTCGTAGGCTTATCTAATTCACCACTTTATAGTAGTTATGTCATACTATATCTTCTAAAAAGCAGGCAAAAATAGTAAAATATTAGCAAAATTTAGTTGTAGTTATTTACCGTTTTTTTAATTATTTTGGCGTGTCCGGAGCAGTTGGCATCTCTGCAAATACCCTCAAAATACACCGGATACGGTAACCAGGAAATATGGGCCAGCAGTGCTCTGTAGTGTAGAAAATAATATAGTGTAGAATATAAATGAATGTGTGTCCTCCATTATAGACTCCTAAACCATCTGTCCGAAAGTGATGAAATTTGTCAGACGGATAGCTCGAAGCGCGAGGAAAATCCCTATCGACATTCGAACATACTACGACGAACTATTCGAGCGAGATGAGCTCAAAATAAAACGTATTTTTCTGATTGGTTAAGCTTTAGCCATTGTTTTAAATTTTATTGCAAGCTAGTGATTTTGTTATTCAAATATTTTCACGATAATATCAGTGGCATTTCCCAGCTTATAACTCTATTTGATGAAAAAAAAATTATCGCACATACTTAAATATTTAATTTTTTATTCGCTATGTCAGATAAATGTAGTGAACAACATAAGCGTGGCAGCATTCGTGGATTGCGTCACCAAATTAATATTTCCAAAATTGTCTCTCACCACGTGTTTATTTTGTCTATAGTAATTCTTTTAAAATGTTTATTTAAAAGTAAGCAATTTAAAATCAACGGTAATTGAATTGGGGAAAAAATTAGTAATGTTTTCAAAAGCAAAATTACTAGAAAAGTGATACTAATTCGCTTTGGAGAAACGTAAAAATTCGCCTTATTATTATTGACGCCAATGATTGTTAATTAAATTAGGTAATAGATGCATATTGATATAAAAGAAAGGAGCTATCTACTTGAAGGCAAAATTGATGAAGTAAAAGTAATTATTCGTTTCAAGGAACTGTAACAAATTGCCATACTATAAATTGACAACAACGATGCTTAATTAATGTTGATGATATGTGTTAATTGAAATAAAAATTTAACATCTCGACTAAAAGTCAAAGTAAAAGACAATAATGCCTTGTATTTAATTAACTCACGGTAACAAAAATAATCACAATTATATTCACAAAGCAAAAATAATCGCGTTTAGGATGAACTACATAAAGAAATATTAAATCTAGGTTAAATAAAGGACAAGGTAGAATTCTATTTTAACAAATTCGTTATGCAATATGGTGTTGTATATAATTAACTCCACTTTAATTAACGTTCTAACTTATATGCAGAAACTTAGCTTGACCTTAGCCAGTAATATCCAGAACATACCTGCCTAGTCTCCTGTTTTGTAACGAAGACTCCTGTATTTTTCAACTATGTCCTGTTTACTCGCATATTCTCAAATTTCCCTGTATTTGTTGAAGAAATTTTAAAAAGAACAAACAAATTTAGTAATAAAACATCCACTGATGTCAAAAATAAATACTTTTCTTATTCCTCTATAGATGATGTTATTGCAAGTACTGCAGTATGTTGAGTGTTAATAGTTTCAGTCGCGCCGTGATGGCTCAGGATATAGAGCGTTCGCCCTCTAATGAGGTGAACTGGGTTCGAATCCCAGCTATGATTAGTCGATGCTAATTCCGCATCCAGTTTGCACCGACGACAGTGCTGACGTAAAATATCCTCAGTTTTAGACAGATCACGGGTTAGAGTCCCTTTGCCATTAGGCTAACCTTGTGAGATTTTCCTCTCTCTGTAACTCAAACCCGGGTTAGTTTCATCAAAAAGTCCTCCACGAAGACAAATTTCTCCCAATAATTCATTGACCGTGTTTTTTCTTTAACAAAAATTTTAAGACATATTCGCCGAACGTGGGGCTTCAACCGACGACCCCGAGAATAAGAGTCTCGTGCTCTACCGACTGAGCTAGCCGGGCTTGCTTCTGTTTCATTTTAGTTGCATCAAACATTAAAATTAATGTTTTAAATTCAACTTTTTTTGTTGTTGTCTTTTTCCGAAAATAATTATGTAAGTGTTTTTTGTTTTTTAATTTTTTTAAAAAGAATATAAAACGTTTAATAGAAGTTTTTCGCTTCTAACTTTAAAGTATAATTTAGAAGAATAAAAAACTAAATTTCTAGTGGTTTAAAAATTCCAAAGAATCAATATAAAAACTCGGACTAAGCCCGAAAATCTCGGCCTACATGAGCTAGGGCTCTTGACAATGAAATATCCGTTTGATTGAGGGGGGAAATTATTGAATATAAAAATTGCGGAGCATTACTTATAATAATATAACTTATAATAACGTAAGTAAGTTTTTATTTGGTTTTTCTGCTTGTAAAGGCATTTTATTTTCGTGTATTTTAACCTTCATCTGTCGTATTAATCTCGGGCGGAATCGAGTTCGATCATTAAAAATTGAGTCCAATCTCTTCTCTTTAAGCTGTTATCAACATTTAATTAAAATTGTCCTCATTGTCTGTCGTTGTGCCTAAAACAACTTTATTAAGTAAAATAACAATAAACAATTACGCTTATTAAATAAGCAATCCCCAAGCGGTAAGATATTACTTAATTAAAAAATTTCATTCGCTTCAAAAACATTTCATTAGGAAAATACTGTTGGCATGTTTCAAGCGCTCAAAAAGAGGCACCCATTTTCAAGACTAGCCTGACGTGAGTGAGGAGAAACAAAAGTGGTTTTAAATATAAAACTTCAAGTTGCCAACTAACAATGGAGAAATAAAGGTGAGAAACAAAATTAGAAAAACCACTGTAGTTGAGAGGGGGGGATGAAAAATAGAACTAGAAAGACTTTATTTGAAACTTACATTTACATTATTTTTTCGCGTGCAGTTTTATTTATTTATTCATTCATTCTAAAGAGGAAAAGTAAGTTGCTAATCATTATTTTTGCCTTGAGAATATATTTTCGAGGCATTTAAATTCTTTTAGTGACTTTTATTAAGTTTTAAATGAGAAAAAGTAAAAGAAAAAAAATTTATCAGCAAATGGTATTTTAATTAGTATTGTTTTTATTTTTCAATGCCTGTTTTTAAAACTTGACAAGTTTACTATCCTGAATTGGATGCAGAACATACAAAAGAAATAGATTTTAGCATAAAAAATCTTTAAAAAAAAATATTTATTTTAAAAATTATTTTTCACGATATAGAGAGATAATTTTAAAAAATTTGTTACCTTCAAAAAAAAAAAAATCATAAGTCCCTAAGATATACTTGACACATTAGGTACTGACACGCAAAAAATATTTCTTAACGGTAACGAGTAAATTTTAAGAAATCTGTACCCTTCAGTGAAAACATTAAAAATCGCCACTATATACCAAGTTAAAATTACTTTTTCCGATTGTTTAATTAAATAGGAACAATCCTGCTTATCAAAAAAGTGGGTCTTTCAATGCTTTTCTAAAAGAAAGTTGATGAAGTTTAGAATGAAGCTATCAACTGTAATACAGGATGGGGGAAAAATCCCAACAAAATTTATGTTTAGCAACAAGTATGTGATGAAAAAGTGCGCAGACTTCATTTATTAAAAAAAAAATATATCAAAATAAGGAGAAGGAAAAAGATCTTGAAACAAATGACTGAAAGTTAAAAGAATTTTTTTTTCTTTTTAAAATTAGAATATGTTTTGGCCGCACGCTTAGAATATTCAGACGAGATTCAAAAAGAATGAGGAAAAAAATTAAACTAAAACAAATAAAATCGTTCAGAAACTTAATCTAAAACTTATTAACTTTACATTCCACATGATGTAACAACAATAATGGGAAAAAAGAACAAAAATAAAACACCAATTTCTTAAAGTAGGCAAGAAAAGGATGATATAAGACAAAAAGAATGGAGCAAACTATCGTCTGCACTTTGGTCAAAACGTAAGCAACACAAAAAACAAAAAATAAATTGCCATTAAAAAGAAATCAAGAAGAAAATTCCATTTTTTTCCCCTTTATTTTTTTTTAACCGTATCCCCACCCTCTTAGTCAAGCTTCAGGTTATTTGCATGAGAACAGTCATTCGGGCAAGTATTTTTTGGAAGAGATTAACAATGTTTTTAAAACGAACGATGTTTTTGAAAGGTAATTTTGGAAGTCATTCGGCCTGGAAGAAGAATAAAGAAAATGAAAAAGTAAAACTTGGGAGAGAGTGAAGGGAAGAAATAGGGAAAAGAAATCTTAATAAAGAAAAATGCCCACCCCAAAAAACTCAATAAAGAATGGAAAACTTTATCATGAATAATAATATCGTACTTTATCGGCATATGTCATCAATTTCAGGCAGCAGATGGCAACAGGAAATGTTCAACAGTAAAACTGTTCCAATGACTGAATAAAATGGTACGAGAATGCAAACTTACATTGAAAGTAACGTTATAAGTTCTATTTTCGTCTCTCTCTCTCTTTTTTTTTTTTTTTTTTTTTTTTTTTTTTTTTTTTTTTTTTTTTTTTTTTTTTTTTNAATTGAAAATAGTTAATAATTGACTGCTGCAACTTGTTGCTGATTCTAAAACAAAATCGACCTTTTACTTTTCAGAATTTTTGTAAATTAATACTATGAAGAGTTTAGCATCGTTGCCAAAATACCATTACCAAAAATTTTGCTTTTGAATATATAAAGTTTTGTAACTTTTCTTATCTTCTGGTAAACACGATCCACTTTAAACCTCCATCTTTCCAGGGTTTTTTTTTTTTTTTTTTTTTTATTTTTANTTTGCATTATTTTCTTAGTTTGATTTTGTTGCTCTCGGTTCGCCTATTGTCGTTCAAATATGGTGGCAATATCGTTTGGATGTGATTTATACCATTTAACTCTGCATACAATCCAAATATTTATTTTTACTGAAGACATTCCTGATTACGGTAAATAATGAATTTCTAATGTCACCGTTTTACAGATTACAATCGTGGAAAAATAGGTTTATTACATTTAAGTAATATCCAATGTCACATTTTACTGATCACGATCGATGAAAAATAAGTTAATTGCTATATCAACATCACATTTCAGTTACGTCCAATGAGCATTTTTTATAATATCAATTTTGCAATTTAAAATTTTGCGAATTACATTAAACAAAAAAAAAATTCCAATAAAAAAAAATCCAATTTCATTTTACAGATTACAATAGAGGAAAATAGGTTTATTGCTGTGTCAACATATTTAACTGATGTCCATTTAACATTTTATTGCTATTGGTAATATTTTGCGTATTACATAAAATAAAAACAATTCCCCTGTCCCTATTTAACAGGTTACAATCGATAAAAAATGAATGAAGATTTGTAGCTGAACTTAATGTTCATAACAATATTTTTTCATTGTTTATATGTTTTTTTTTCATTGACTATTGTTCATTTCACTATCTGAAATGCTTTTGAACTTTCTATTTTCTAAAAAAAGAAATAATTTCTTTTGTGTTCTAGGAACGCAGCGGCACGATTTAACATCCTGGATGAGTTTTGCGTCAGTTTATGAATTTATTGATAATAAATACAGAAAAGCAGTTTCATCCGGAGATCTTTGAAGGGAAAAAAAAGTGTTTTTGTACTGCGCTCAAGATGTACTTCATAGTTGCCAACTCTACTGGATTTTGCCAGCTTCTCCTGGTCTACTGGTCTAATAAAAATTCTCCTGGATTTGTACATTCTTAAAAATTCCCTAAAATTGAGTAAGTTTCCTGGAGAAATCCCTATTGAAATAGAATTTTTGCACAGATTATTACTTGCTTGAATATTTAAATAATTGTTATTAATACAAAATGAATCGAGCCTCATTTATAAAAATCAGTTTAAAACTTTTCGTTCTAAAATTTTGAGTTTATTTTTATTCAGAAGTTCCTTTTTTAATTAATGAAAAATCCTTTAACTATCTTCGATGAATTAAATGCGTATTAATATGCGAAATTATGAATAAACATAATGCGTAACATTTCAGTAATGTTAATCATGACAAGAAATTATTGAAGATTTTCTATTTTGGTGACTATAAAAATCCCTAAAATTCCCCATGTGTAAAATATTTAGTACCTTTTGCAACAACTATCATGAAATTTATATTATTTTGTGAAATCTACTGGATTTTTTCCTATCCAAGTTAGCAGCTATGATGTACTTGTACCTAATGTTTTCATAACTACCGTCCGAATATTGGGATCTGTAAAACTAACGGTAGCAGCTTTTACTACATTCCTTTATACTATGTAAATAAATGTCAAAAATTATTAAAGCATATTAATGTTTTGTGGATAAATCTGAGTTGCATTTCGTTAACAGCAGATGTCGCTACTATGTCTTTGTTAAGCGTTTAGTTTTGAAATGGATGTTTACTGCTGTTTACAGGATTTGGAGAAAAAAAATCGATTTCGAAGTAACCTCTATTTATCGAAGTCGCTAAATCCCGATAATAAGTTCGTTATATGGAAAATTCGTCAAATAGAAAATTACCTATTGAAATGCAAAACATGTTTTAAATTCATAAACACTAGACATAGTTAAAATAGCAATTAATACACCTTTATCTTTAAAACTAGTATCTACTATATATTTTTTAAATCTTAACCATAAAAGAAATCTGCATGGAAACCAAGAATAGAGCAAAAAATTATCCAGAGTTACACATGCTACATACATTTTCAACTAAAAAAAAGCTAAATTTATGTATAAAATTATAGCTGCATTTATTATAAAAGTAATTTTAAACGCACCACATGCATTCTTAAATTTAATTGCTACTGATAAAATCCATTAATTTTGTCTGAGTTTTTCGTTTGAAATGCAAACGAAAAGGGAAAGGGATTTTTCTGCTTTCTCTATAAGTTAAGTGGCTACGAAAAACAATTCAAAGTGGATCTCAAGGAAAAGTCCGTTAAATTCGAAAATTCATTTCGTTATTTTACGAAGAAATTTTCAAAATGTTTTTGGTTCCTCGAAAAAATCGCAAAATTGAGAAATTCGCAACATCGTTAAATAGAACTCCGACTGTAATTCTAATATGTGGTATTTCAAGTTTCAAAACTCCGCATTTTATGAAAATAACTATAAAATAAATGAATTCCAATGTGTTCTGGAGAAGTATTTAGTTCATGCGACCAGAAAATTACGAAAGAAAGCAAGTTTTTTTGAACACTCTATGCCAGGAAATCAAGCAATACGCTTGTAACTTGTATCAATTACTTGGGTTGTTATTTGCAATGACAGCATAAAATTTTGTTAATCTAGCTTAAATATTTATGCAGATATGAATATTTTTTATTATCTAATTTTTTTTTCTTATTTTCTTTTCTGTAACTTTAAAAATATTCAGTAAATTAAACAAAATTTTTGGAGCAATTAAAAATTAATTACAAAATTATTGTTTTAAAATTTGGAGAAAAATAAATTGTCAAAAAATGCGCAGGATATGAGTATTTAAAGTAGTTCTTTTGTACTGCGCATGCGCGAAATTTTTTTTTTTTTCTTTTTCTCATAATTTTGTAGTGAATAAACTATTGGAAAGAATCTGATTTAAATATCTTTAAAATAAAAAAAAGTTTCAATCAATTTTCCTCCATAAATATTTAAGCTAGATTTACGAAATTTTATGCAGTCATTACAAATAACAACGAAAGTAATCGTTACAAGCTTATAGCTTGATTTTCTGGCATAAGGTGTTCAAAAATACTTATTTTCGTTTCGTTGTCGGTCCCTAAAACGCCTGAAAGCTTTAAACTTTATCACAAAGTATAAAAAATCCCATGAACCAAGCACTTTTAAAATTACGAAATAGGCCTCTAAGTTTTTCTTTAGAAATTCAAAAAAATATCAAAAACCTAAATTGTCTCTTCCATTAAAGTAAGGTAGTGTATATAAACTGGGAGATGTTTCTTAAATCTCGTTTCAACTCTTCTCTGTTTGTTCCGGCAATCAAACAGGTTGTGAGGCTCTTAGTCGCAACTTCTTCCATAATTATTCGTTAAATTTTGATACCTTTTTCATTTTTTGTTCGCTTAAATATTTATTTGCAAACCCCTTTCGACATAAATTTTCAATATGGATTTTTAAAAATATATGCAAATTAGTGATTTCATAGCATCCTGTTTAAGTAATAATAAGTATGTTACATCTTACGCTGCATAAAACTCTCGTTTTTAAATAGAAGAAAAGTAAAATTTCAATGTAGGAAAAGAAATATGCGATTTTAAACTTATTCATGTGTAAAACGAATTGTTCCATAAAATTCCTTTTTAAACCGAAATAAAATTCTTTAGGTTAAAATTGAATAATCAAACGAGCTTTTTTAGCTATTATTTAAAGCTGCCTTCTCCTGTTAAGAATCGTATAAAATTTCTTAAACTGAGTAAAATACCAATTTCTCGAGTTCGAAAAAAGATCGCAATTTCAAAGTCAATTTCTAATTTAAAAACTTTTAAAAAATGTATCAATACACCTTGTGAATTTCACAATATGATTCAAATTTAGAAAATAAATTTAAAAGGGGTAGAATTTGCCTATACTTTTACGTGAAATTGGCCAAATTTACCTATATTTTTACATTAAATTTTAAGAATTTACCTACACCTATGTATTGAATGAATAGAATGTGTCTATATTTTATCATTTAATGGACAAAATTGCCTATGCTTTTGAATTATTTGTAGAAAATGTTGCCAATTTTTTAAAGTTGATTGCTGTTAGTCTTACTTTTCAACAAGAGTAAAATACATAGATTAAAATAATTTAATGTCTATGCCATAGGCTAATTTGATAATCCGACGCTTTGCAAACTGCCAAAGCAACTTAGCAATGCGCCTAACAAATAACGTCTGTTAATTATGTAGAACTTTCTTTCTGTTGCTGTATATTGTGCTGTAACGAATCATATACAAAGGGCGTTCCATAGAAAACCGAGAGTAATATCATAAAAGAAAAATCAAGAAATGTTATTTACAGAAAAAATAAATTTCTTTTCTTCTTCTTTTTTTCAAAATACATTCCCTCAGACGATATGCAACAGTACCATTTTGCAATCCCACTTTTTAAAAAAAGAAGAGAAGCTTTTTTGTGGATACTGATTCAAAGAATCCTGCACAGCTGAAATACTGTTAGAATCTTCTTAAACGTCGGAAACAGCCAGTGAGAGATCAGGACTGTAAGGGAAATGTGGAAGATTGCATTTACTAAGATATTACTGAAGAGCACAACGCATTTCGTTTTTCAACTTATAAATACTCAACTCTATTTCTAAAGAGAAAATAAAAACAGTTATTCAAACAAGAACTAGAAATATAAAATCGTTTGCTTCGTTTAGAATATTTTTAAACGTTAAATTAATATTTTGAAAAAAATCGCAACTTTCAGTTTTTATAGAGTGTAGTTTGTATATAATCATTAATTCCATGTAGCATTAATTCCATCGAGCAAATGAAAACAGTTGTTCAAACAAGAACAAGGCTAGATAAATAAAATCGTTTGCTTCGTTTAGAATAATTTTAAACGTTCAATTAACATTTTGAAAAAAATCGCAACTCTCAGTTTTTATGGAATGCAGTTTGTATATAATCATTAATTCCATGTTAACTTGCTGTAATTTTATACTTTTAAATACGTGTATTTAAAATGTACATGATTTTTTTTAACTTGGTTATGTAGAATAAAGGATGTAATATATAACCAAAAAATAAGTGAAAATGTTTCTTGTGTATAGTAATATATAAACAACCTTTATCGTATCTTAGTTTATTTTGATCTAATAAAATGTTTATCTATATGCTTCTTTTATTCATTTCACAACTTTTTCCAACAATGTTGTTTCTTTCTTTCAAAAATTACTATATTTGTTTGAATTGAATATTTAATTTCAAATATAATTTTACGCTTATATAATTTTACTTTGTAATTTTGTGCATTATATAACATTCACAATAAACTTAACTGAAATATTTACTTCGATTAATTTAATTCTCGTTCGTTTACTATTGAGATTCCAAGTTTCATTTACAGCACATTACCTACACTAGTCAAGTTCTGATACTAAATATCATGAGTTAAGAGTTCTCCTGCCGTCAGGCTAACCGGCAGAGATTTACATGAATTTCGAGTGAGGAAAAATTGCTAAAATGTTTAAAAAAATAATCGCCATTTAAGATTTTTCCACCAAAATGAAAAATATTAAAATCAATGAGTAATTCTAGTTTGTATGAGTCCTGACAATACAGCTCTGGAAAAAAGTTTTAAAAAATAAAAATCCTAAACCTTTTTTTATTTTACCAAACTATGGCTTTACATAGAGGGCGCTGGCTAATAATGGACAAAGCTTAACCTGACTGCCATGAATAACTATTACAAACTCACAATAGTTTTAAAATTAGAATATTATTCTCTAATAAGCGTAATAACCTCTGTTCTAGAAGTTGTTGTTTTTTCCAGTTCGAACAATTCCATAGCCAACTAGTCTGACTAATTACCAACTGCGCTGAAATCCGCGTTTTCTGCTTACATTTTCTTTTGTTTATTGTGATAAAAGAAAATCTAAAAACTCAAATCTTAGTTTAAATAAAAACCTTAATCTTCCCTCTTTATTTACCCGTAATCATTTCTACAAAAACATTTTAATTCTAAAAGTCACCCCACTTTTCTTACGACAGACGACATCTGAGCGTACTAAAATGAGGTAAATGATCTTTTGTGGTTTATTTTAATTGAATACGTTCGTAAAAGGTGGGACTTAACGTAGTCCCATCACGCATTCGCGACAAAAGGGGTACCTGGAACATAATATACGAGGTGTGCAGTCCAATCTCATCATTCTTTTGTGACGTCATTTCAAAAATTGTTTTTCTTTTTACTGCGTCTCACAGCGAAAACGTTTCCAATTAAAACCCTTAACAAGAGTGTGCTCTTTTGCAAATTGGGACGAAACAAGTTCTGTGCGTCGGCCAAAATTACCGAACATCATTCAAAACTGGAGAGACGGGGATCTAAAACATTGTCTTCGCAAGCGGGGGAGGCTGCATATGGCCTGACAGGTGGCTAATTAGTTATTTCTCGCCGGGTCATTTATAATGGCCTGTCGGCGAATCCTAATGAATGGCCCTCCCCTTTCTGGGGCCCTTTTCATTACTTTGGCCCACCATTTAGCATTCCCCTACTTGCTCTTGAAGGGATGTGTATGGTAGAGATTCAACCATGTTTGACTTGATGTATTAAAGGGAATGGTTTTCAATGCACTGTGCCAGAAATTAGCGAACACGCACCTCACCCCTTCATTCGAATAGGTAATGGTTTGTGAATGGAAAATATTCTTTTGTTCTCTCTCTTTCGAATGACATTCTTTGGTGTCGATTTCTCTTTTGGTTCTACACATTATGTTTCTTCTGGTACGACGGGGTTGTGACGTAAAATTTATTTAGATCAACTTACAGGAGACTATGAGTTGAATGTAGGGTATTCCGTAATTGCCTCCTGTAACTTACATTTTTTTAGACCTTTTCAAAAATAAAGTATTAAAATATTGCGCATCTATATTTAAGAGTGGAAATTGTAGCACTGCTCAGGAAGACGGTATTAAAAACGATAAAGCCAGTTTGATTTCGTTTCAAAACTTCGAAGTGTTTCTGTTGTAGTTCATTTACGTCGCACTAGAGCTGCACAATGGGCTATTGGCGACGGTCTGGGAAACATCCCCGAGGATGATCCGAAGACATGCCATCACAATTTTGATCCTCAGCAGAGGGGATGGCACCCCTGCTTCGGTAGCCCGACGACCTGCGCGCGAAGTCGAGCACTTTACAGTAAAACAGTTTCACGAGGATCAATTCCGCAAACCCTCGGTCCCTTCGCAGACTAATCCAAGTGGTCACCCACCCGCACACTGGCCGCAGCCAGTGATGCTTGACTTCGGTGCTCTGCTGGGAACCGTGTCATAACGATCAGTCCACTGCGGGAATCGAAGTGTTTCTAATAATCGCTTTTCCACTTCTTATTTTTTTGTCGTTGCTTTGAAATTAATTTGCTGCCTCTAATGTGTATAGAGATATTGCTACTATAACCCTAGATGCATTGCTACTGAAATATTGTATACTCTATTGTGCACAGAGTTTACTGTTTGTTTGTAGTTCATTTACGTCGCACTAGAGCTGCACAATGGGCTATTGGCGACGGCCTGGGAAGCATCCCTGAGGATGATCCTAAGACATGCCATCACAATTTTGATCCTCTGCAGAGGGGATGGCACCCCCGCTTCGGTAGCCCGACGACCTGCACGCGAAGTCGAGCACTTTACGGTAGAACAGTTTAACGAGGACCAATACCGCACACCCTCGGTCCCTACGCAGGCTGATCCAAGTGGTCACCCACCCGCACACTGACCGCAGCCAGTGATGCTTGACAGAGTTTACTGACGTTGCACACTATGAATATAATTGTGTTTTCCACCTATTTAGGCCACCAAAATAAAAGAAACAATAATGTATAGTGCTACTTAAATATCGCTTACTGTATTATGTGCGGATTTAACTGACATCTTTGTATATTGAGTATCGCGGTGATTCAGGTCATCTGTATAAACGGCATAGAAGTAAATATATTGCTACTTAAATATTGCATACTATTGGGTCCAGTAAAAAAAAGTCATTGCGTTTTTTTTCTTGCAACAGATGGCAGTAGTGCAGTTTCTGAAATACTTGAAGAAGTTGCATAGTAGCTTCTACGTCATTGATAAGCTAACAATTTCAGCTTCAATGTTAAGAATAAATTGAAATATTTCGTGGAATTGAAGTATTTCGTCAACAGAACGTTCTGCATGGAAGTTTAATTTGTTCATTTTTGCCATATTTTGCTATTTTACTTTCGCAAAAGAAAAACGCACTCCAAGCTTGTGAAAAATAGTCTAAAGTTAACGGTTACGATGCCCTACAAGAATGTCAACACTAAAACTGATTCAAGAAATTCCGAGCAGGTGATTTTGATTCGAATGGTGCTCCCCGATCAGATTGGCCTACTCGATCAGATTGGCCAAAATAAAGACATTAATCCAGTCAAACCCACGTTACACGACAAGAAAGATTGAAGGTCAGTAAAAAAAAAAAAAAAAANAAAAAAAAACCCACCTCGCACGGGTTAGTCCTACGGCAAGGGGTTTCTAGCCCATGATCCATCTACCAGTGAGGATATTTTATGTCAGCGCTGTGGTCGATGAGAACTGGAGGCGGAATTCGTATCGATCAGCAATCGCTGGGATTCGAACCCGGTTCATCTCAATGGAAGGCGAACCCTCTATGTCCTGAGCCATTACGACAACGTTCCTTTTTAGAAACGAATGACAACTGGGGATAAGAAGTAGATTGTTTGCAAGAATGTGGTGCGCAAAAGGTTTCGTTCGTGAGATGAAGATTCGCCATCAACGACTTCAAAGCCAGAACTTGATCACAAGCAGGTTATAAATTGGAAGGGTGTAAAGTTTTTTTTTTTTATTTTAAGCTGTAACCAAGGAACGGAATAATCAATTCAGATGTGTACTGTAGACAATTTGAGAGAAAATGTCCTTCTGAAACGTTCTGAGTTCCTCAATCATAAAAAATTACTGTTACATTTCGACAACGCTAGACCACACACATCTTTGGTGCCCCGTCAAAATTCATTGAAGCTTGGATGGGATGTGTTTCCTCACCCACTATACTCGCCTGATCTCGTATTTGTCGGACTTCCACTTTTTTCGCTCTCTTCAAAAATCCTTGAGTGAAATAACGTTGAATTCAGAAAAGGCTGTAAATGAGCTCCTTATTCAGTTTTTCACAAATAAAGACAGGTCTTCCAACGAACCAAAATAATGAAGCTCAGCGTACAATGGCAAAAAGGGAACATATATATCATAGAAATCATATTGCAATCATATAAATTTATGTCAATTATGTAAACGCAATTACTTTTTACTCAGCCCAATATATTATCATAGCTGCCAACTCTGCTGAATTTTCCAGTAGACTACTGGATTTTGCCAGTTTCTATTGGTTTAATAAAAATTCTCCTGGTTTTTGTAATTCCCTAAAATTGAGTAAGTTTCCTTTTAAAAAAATCCCTATTGAAGTAGAATTTTTGTGCAGATTATTGCTTTATTGAATATTTAAATAAGAGTCACTAGTACATAAGAAAGCGAGCCTCATTTATAAAATTCAATTAACTATCTTTGACGAATGAAATGCCTATTACTATTCAAAATTATGAATAAACATAATACATGACATTTCAAGATCATTTAATGTAAAATCATAACTGGAAAAATTCCCTATGTGTAAAATATTTAGTATATTTTGCAACAATTATCATTAAAATTTTTATTATTTAGTAAAATCTACATGATTTTTTTTCTATACGTGTTGGCAGCTATGTATCATGCAGGAAGTTTGCTGACGTATTATTTTGTATTAAATTCCCAGAAAGCGTGTAACCTTACGGCAACCTTGTGTCAGAATTTTCTTTTTATTGTCAGGAAAATGTTTGTATTAAAAACCTTTTTTCAATAAAGCAAAAATGTCGCAGTTTCAAACCTTTCATCCTAAAAGGATTAAAAATTAGTTTTAAAGCTTTTTTAAAAAGTATTGTCAAAATGGTCACTTTGATCCATCATGACGTTTGAGCTGACGTCACACTATCGATAGGATCAAATTGCATTGTCCATTAAAATTTCATGACAAGGTGGATTTTAGATGAGCATACAAGACGTTGCGAAAAGATACCTTATAATTACCTAGATTTAAGATTATTTTCACC